GCACTGAATATTACAGGCCTATTTCCTAATCCTCAGTTTTGGCTAAGGCTTCACATTCTTTAGTGAGTGATCATTGGCTCATCGAGACCGATGACTACAGACTCGGCTATAGCTGAAGATCACCGTCAGGGTGAAAATGGACGTTGAATCGCTTTATGCCAATGTAATATTTCAGGATGGTCTGGAAGAGATCTGCTGTCTGTTGGATTTGACCAAACTAGTTTTATCATGTCATTTCTTTCTTTTGGGGCCTGATTTCAATCAATAAGAAGCAAAGACAGGAGGCTGTTTTCTGTCGCTCATGAACCGCTCACACACACACCGATTAAAGCACGTTCTCTCAAATCCCGCTCCGACATTACAGTTCTCCGTGTGCCACTAAAGCGGAAGTTGTATAAATAAACGTGCCGGATCTCAGCGCTGGTGTAGACGTATATATCCACATCTCTACCATCAGATGATTTCTGAACGAGTGTTTATTGTGTTATTGAGAGGATTTCCATATGCTCTCATCTGTGTGGATGGTGTCTTATGTGTTTTAGTCATTTTTGCAATGCTTCTTTTTAGCAAATATGCCAAATATACTATTTACTAAGTGTAATAGTGAGTGATCTTTAGACTCATCTATAGATGGTTATCAGGGTCACCCACCAAGACACACATAATAGTAAAATACGCCAATAAATAGTAACTAAATAACAAAAATGTAACACAACATGTCCTTATGTATGTTGCTGAAACAAACGTATTTCTATAAAATATAATCATAGATAATACGTCACACAGGGATTTCTGTGAGTTGTAAAATGACTCGCGTACAAAAAATGTGATTAGACGTTGTCATTGTTGCAATGTAATATACAATTAATTACTGGGAAATGTGCTTTAACAGCATGTGTTTACTGTAAGTTTAGTGGGTTTAATTCATTCACACAAGTAATTTACATGTAACATTTAACAAAGACACCAAAAACATTTTTAAGTAAATTTACTGTAAAAGTACTTTTTGGATAAGTATGTTATAGGTATACTTGCTTAAAGGCTAATTCATACTTTTTACCTCCAGTCACAATTTGAGTGTGACTCTAATACTACGACTAGCCGCGTTTACAGGGACACTTTATGTTGAAATCGGAATGAAATCATTGAAAATCGGACTTGATGTTTTGAGATGGGCTCGCGGCACGAGTTTACAGAGTTTCTGCACTGTTGTCACATAACCATTCTCATTTTCTTTGCAGACTTAAAGCATACTTAATTAATACCTATATATTTCGGGTCTTAATTAGGAGACGACGAGCACATGAAGCACACAACAAGCGTCTGCAGATCAGAGCCGAGCACACTTCACTGAACAGAGAATTACAGATCGACACCACAGTCCTCTACTATATCCAACATCAGCGTCATACATCATTACGCCGTCTCTACATCATTGCTCAACATGCGCCGCACTTCAAGTGTTTACATGACGGAAAAGGGTTATCCCACCTTTCTCAAACCGGTTTGGGCAGTTTTATTCCGATTGAGGTGTTTTACACGGAGCTTTTTCATTGGATTGGACTTTTAGGCCGATTGTAATGGGAACACAATGCTGCATGTAAACACAGCCAGGGATAGTTGTTTCGTTGTACAGTGGTGTTCAGGCTCTTGTCTCACTGTGTGTCTGAGGAATGGGGAAAGAGCGGCGGTGTCCAGCCCGTTTGGGCAGATAATGGGAAGAATTTGACCCCCGCTGAGCTGCTGCCGTTCCATTGGCTGATATCAAACACACCACATTCTTCAGCTGGAGGCCAGACGTGTTCGTTCTGTTGGACACTCGCTGGGACTGACTGTTACAGCAGGTCTAACACCCTCAAAGTCTGATGGTGAACTCACTCGCGGGTTTTAGCCCCAGAATGAAGGCTTTCATTCGTACAAATCAGTTTTAACAAGAGCAAGAGAGAGAAGGAGTGAAGGCAGAGAGAGTTTAGCTTTGGCACACTGCTGAGACTCATGGAGGTCGAGCGTCACTCCTCCTCAGTCAGTGCTGAATATGGTTTCTAGAACACTTGTTACATTTTACACAAACCATAAGACCTGAAATCATTAGTCAATATAAAAATGACACATGCTTCATAATTATAGCTCTTGATTCAACTTCTGAAGATCTCTAGTTCTTGTAACTAACAGGAAAGGTTTGTAGACACTTTCTGTTTGATTAACACATGAGATCATAATCTGTTTAACAGACCACAGCTACCTTAGAAAAACATCAATGAAAATAAGATTATAGGCTAATATTTAAACTATTGCGATTAATCGCATTAATGTTATCGTTAACTACTCATAATTGATTGCACATTTTTATTTATTTTAAATGTCTCTTAATTTCTTTTTGTCCCATAATTTGTTTCTTATTTTAATGCTCTTATCAAAATGAAGAAGTGAAACGCCTTGCTTTGTGCAAATGTTGTTTTTTTTAAATTGAAAACAATTTCACACAAATGATCTCTCAAACACTGTAACACTGTCTATCAATAAAAGGGTGAAAGAAATACTCGTCATCCACTCAAAACGTAACGTTAACCAACTATTTGGCCGGCTCGCAAGCCCAAACGAGTGTGTGCGGCGTGCCTGTTGTTTTGTTTCCAGTCCAGCTAGATCCGCTAACGCTTTGGTCAACGAAGCAACAAAACGTCCTCGCGCGGCACAAGCCATTGAAATGAATGTGTTTCATAGCGTGTCCTGTTGCAAAAGCATGTAAAAAAAACGACAAAGTTTGCTACATGGCGTTAAAATGGGTTTGCGTTAACATCGTTAATAACGCGCTTAACAAACTAATTTAAGCATAAATATGAGACTAAATAGGCTACGTTTTCTGTAAGCCGCCGGACAACGAATGCGCCGGCACATTCTGCTGGATTTTTCCATCATGACATCAGAACTTTAAATTCTCTGTCATACAGAACATACAGTCACAATAACAACAAAACCTTGTGCTTTTATGAAATAAAGTAAATAAACAGTGTGCGCTTTCAGCTTTCTGTGTCGCTGCGAGATTATTTCTGAAACACATCTCAAAAATGAACAGAAACTCAGCGAATATATCACTAAAAAACAACATCGCAATGACACTTTTCCCCCAATAATGTACAGCCTCAGTCGCCATTATGAGGATCAGTCAGTGTTCACTTCAGTCGGGCAGTTGGTCCTTGACTTCGGTTAAAATAATTCTCTTTCAATACCTGTGCAATATTTCATACCCCTCACTGCAATTACACTCTTCTTACTACAGTATGAGCACTGTTTGGAGTTTGAGATTTTTTTACTTGCTGTTAAATATACATATTTATTGTCTTACTTCATGACACCACCTAAATAGTTCAAAATGATGCCAGAGCTCTAAACTCTTTAAACTTCTGATATAGACTAATTTTTTTTAAACATACGAGGGGGCAAATTTTAGATTAACATTTACATCTCTGTCCCTGGGGTTGGGGCAGTAGTGAGGTTGTGTGTGTGTGTGTGTGTTAGAGTGTTGAATGGCTGTATTGAGGTGGATGTAATGTGTTGTGTGTTTTGAGGCATTAGTGTGCCGTCTCTCTGCTGACCGTCTCCTGTCCACTGCTGCATCAGGCCTCCTGTAAGCATTCCACACACATTACCCATCCGTCCCATCATTCAGCTGTCAGTCTGTTTACTGTGTTAGCTGCTATTGATGGTGCAGAGGACATTCAGTATTGCTTTGAAAGAGGAACGAGCCAATAGCTTGTAAGATGGAATAGTTTAGCTTGTTGATTGTTGGTTTGATTAGGTTTCTGCTTACAGTTGTGAAAATGGAAACGTTGACCAATCTCAGACGGCGCTGGGCTGTGATGGCTTTTTAATGTTTGCATAAGACACAGTAGAGGGCTGCGTTGGGGTAAGCACTGAACATGACGTGAAATACGTTTTTGCACCACACACACTGAGCAGCAGGGAGCGTTTTTTTTTTTTTGCATCATCCTCAATATCATTTGCATGAAAAACATGCCAGTCTTTCTGTGTATACTTCAAAAGAGTTACTCGAGCATTCATCAAACTCTTCGATACGCCCGAGTGTAGTCATGTTCGCCTCCACTCACTTTAACAGTCGTTGACACTCGCTAGTCGTTGAGTCCGCTCTTTGCCAGTGTAAGATTCTTGAATAACAGGATGAGACATTCATAACTTTGAAAAGAAAATACATCTTAGCTCGGCCTGGTCCGAAAATTCACTCCGGCAAAAAATACATATTCACCCCAAAACAGGAACGCCTTCCCCAGGCTTTGGCCTCCTCAGTATTGCAATAACAGTCAATACATTACACCTGGATGATTATCTGAGCTGTGATGATTTATGTGCTTCGGGCAGATCTCTTTCAGGACATAAAAACACTTTAGGGCAATGGGTTCGTAGCTCTGCTTCATCTGTGCGATATCCTCACGAAGAACGTCCAAGATCACTGACATGCCAGAAATTCATTACCTGTCGGGAGAGGTCAATCGCCTCTCGTTTCCCATCTGCTCGAACACTGCTCGACAAAGCTGAAAACCGGGCCGATTCAAAAAAAGAGTCGCACGAGTCAGTATTCAGATCAAAATCAGACAAAAACCACTCAGTGTATCCCCAGACGGCTCAATTCCGTTTCTGGGAGTCACGATCCGATTCCAAAACGACGAATCTACATTTTTTTAAATTATAAATCTTTCTAATATATCTAATAAAAGCACACACGTCTTCTTGTGCTTTCCTCACAAATCACACGTCAGCAGTGGCCAGCTTTGGCATGTGGTTTTCCTTTATTTCTAATTTGTAGCTGTTGTTTGATTTTTTGTTTAGTAAATTTGTTTGCAATCCAATATTCAATAGCCTATCTCTACTCTCCATCGCTACATGAGCGGTAGCAGCTCAAGCTAATGCCACTTAATTTACTTCATGTGGATGATTGGTTGATGTACCAAGGGAAGCTAGCCTCGTCTGTTTGTTGTGTCTGGCAGTGAAGTATGTGGACTGTGGGAGACGGGCTCACGTGTGGTTTGAATGCAGTGAGCCTGAAGACTTCTGGATCTCAGTGGATGGAGTTGTGTACGCCCTCCGCCTGCTACACCCGACCCACTCCTGGACCAGGTCACCTCTGGTCATTAAAGCCCAGGACGAGGCCAGCCATCAGCAGTGGAGGACACAGCTCACACTGATCCCAGCCAGAGCTCATCCATCACAGGTACGACATCTGCATCATGTCTCACAGCTGGAAGATGCATTCTGGAGATATTAACACACAGTTATAGCTGTAATGTACTGATTCTGGAGATAATAACCGACTGCCCTATAATATGCATCTATCCATCATAAAAGTGCATCTATACATGATAAAAGTGCATCTATCCATAATAAATGCATCTATCCATCTTTCCATAAGACATACACCCAACCACTTTTTATTTTACAAAAGAGAGCTTTACGTATTATTACAAAATCACAATATAGGGATCATACAAATGATTTATTTTTAAAATTAAACATTCTAAAATTTTATGATTTGACTGTTGTAATAAGAAGATATGCTATAAAGACAGTTCACTTCGCATATACAGACAGGAGCCATCTTAGAAAATAGTCTCGACAAGTTGATCCCCGAACGCCGTTCATACAGTTCAGCTCACTCAGCACGACGTTCGTGGTTTGACTTGTCGTGATTTTTTTTAAGATGGCTCCTGTCTGTATACGCGAAGTGAACTGTCTTCATAAACTATTGAGACAAATTGCACAATTCGATTCGATTTCGATTCACAAGCTTGCAATTCGATTCGATTTCGATTACGATTCAATATCGATTACTTTGGAAATCAGTTACAATAAATGGCAATTTTTCTTAAGGAAATCAAATCTCTGAACTAATGCTGTAAACTATGGGAGTCTAGTTGTAGCCTATAGGCTTCATTAGCCTAATATGAAGGTAATAATGAACTGTTATGTAGCTATACAAACACTTAAATTACACTTTTATTTATTTTTATAATAAGAAGATTATATGAAATATAAACATTTAAATGGTGGCTGTCATTAAAACTTGCCAGATTTATTCAAATATGCATTAAATATTGAAGAACACTAACAAGTGTGGACTAACGAGTTGATGTGGGTTTTCTGAGGTAATTATGACGATGCATGACATTGATTACAAGCTGTTTAACTGACGTCTTTCCACGGTGGAAACGCAGATTGAGTGAATCAATGTGACATGATACGGATTTCGATGAGTTGTACTCTATCTTTAACACACTTTCATAAATCCATTCATTCATGAATTCATTTTTCGTTCATGTTTATTTGGCGCTGTGACTGGTATTATTAAGCCGGAAGAGAGATCAGCGCTGCTGCTTCTCCAGAGCGATCTCCCGCCACAGCGACAAAACGCTATTTATGTTTTTGAATTTCTAAAGAAAATGGACGTAATTTGAAAATTGAGACTTTGTTTCATATCAATAGTAACAAAGGACAAAGATTATTGCGATTTTTTGGATGCGCGCAGCCAATGTCTCATTCATTCAAATGAAACAGGATGACTAATCGATTCTTGAGATTTCTTGAGATCGATATCGGTTTGTAAAAATGAGAATCGATTAATATCGAGAAATCGATATTTATTACCCAGCCCTATCATAAAGTTTCTTATTAAACGGTCTGTACACTTACAAAGTTCTCAATGCTTCGTTTTGCATGTATGGAGCCTCGTTATGTTACTGCGTTAGTGTGCGGCTATTTTGAGCCTTGTTAGTGGTATAAACTAGCGATTTCTTTTTACTTAGTCAATGCCCCCATTACTAGCATTATACGCTAAACAGTTTTTAGAGATTAAACTCTTTACATTCGATTATCATGAAAACAAATCTCAGAGAACGGTTGACTAGGTACCGATGTTTTATTAGACCAAAGGTTCATTGTTCGCCGAGTTCTCCTTTAAAGTCCGGAACACACCAAGCCGACAGTCGGCCGTCTGCCAGATTTTGTACGCACGGTTCTGTGCCGTTGGCTGAAAATAGTCCTCGTCAGCTTTGTTTCGCGCGATTCAACATGTTGAATCGGCGTCGGGCCGTCGGGGAAAGAGAGAACTCTGATTGGCTCTTCAGCTTAGTGAAAGAGTCAGTGCACGAGAATAAACTCAAAACATCAAGCAAAGAAGCCCAAACGGTAAAGATAGAAGGCTGTTCTTATGTTACGTCTTCTTACCGGAGTGTTCCTTGGCCAATATTTCAATATTAACGTGAGTGGAGTGGAATAAAGAAAGTGTTCAGCAGGATTGGTATTCGAAACGGTTAGCACGCGCTGCTTTGTTTACATTATGTGTATCTGCAGCTGCAGCGTCGATTTTCATTTTTGAATGACGAATATAGACTAATATATCTGCAGAAATAGACAGTTGTCTCATTACACGCAGGCGCAGAACGCTCATTATAGCTGACGGTCACCTGTAGTTCTCTCTGTGTGTTCAAGTGCAGCTTTTTACCTCGACGAGAGCGGACGAGAGGTTGGCTTTCATCAGCGCTAGTTCGTTGGCGTCGGCTTGGTGTGTTCTGGGCTTAACAGAGCAGCCATCAAGTGTTAGGGAGTATTCTAGGTTATTATGCGTCAACGTTTTTCTCCAATAATTAGAATATAGTTTTTTTCAGAATTGAGTTGTAGGAAATTAGGGTTAGCTATGCACTCTGTTAATTTTGTGAATTAATGCGTTTGACAATTAATGCATTTGATTTTTACAGAAATTTAACACATTGTTCTTCACCTGTGACCATATCTGCAGGAAATAGTGTTTCCTTCCCGACTGATAGACATGTCTCTCAGGCGCATGAAGAGAGATTGGGTTATTCCTCCAATCAATGTGGCAGAAAACTCAAGAGGGCCTTTCCCATTGAAACTGGTTAGGGTAAGATCAACACACACACACACACACACACACACACACACAAAGTTATAGTAATATAATAGGGTGTCCTCTTTTTCCCAGACATGTCCTATTTTTGGACCTAAAAAAACCACGCCCCAACACTCAAGCACGCCTCCCCAAACCACGCCCCAACACTCAAGCACGCCTCCCCAAACCACACCCCATCCCTCAAGCACACCTCCCCAAACCACGCCCAAACCACACCCCATCCCTCAAGCACACCTCCCCAAACCACGCCCAAACCACACCCCATCCCTCAAGCACGCCTCCCCAAACCACGCCCAAACCACACCCCATCCCTCAAGCACACCTCCCCAAACCACGCCCAAACCACACCCCATCCCTCAACCACGCCCCAACACTCAAGCACGCCTCTCCTAACTACGCCTCCCAAACCACGCCCCCACCCCTCAAGCACGCCTCCCCAAACCACGCCCCCATTCCTCAACACGCCTCCCCAAATCCTGCTTCCTGTTGTTCATGGCTGTGCTCTCTGCTGTCATGTAGATTCGCTCAGATCATGATGAGCATGTGAGTTTGCGCTACAGTGTGACGGGCCCCGGGGCCGACCAGCCCCCCACTGGAGTCTTTTCCATTGACCCCGTCTCAGGACAACTGAGCGTCCTCAAGCCCCTGGACCGAGAGCACTTGCCCAGCTTCAATGTGAGTTCCTCTGTAGATCTGAGAACTAGAGTGCTCTCCTGTTTTTAAGAATATGCTGTGTAAAAGTCCTTCTCTGAAACTGAAACTGATGACTGTATTCAGTAATGGGATCAGTTGACGCATTTCCACTCTGAGTTTAGAGAGATTTAATTCCTCAACAATACAGTGTAATTCTAAACTTAACTCTAACGCTCTTTTATAACACTAGAAGAGTCTCTCGGGCTGAAGGGAAAGACTGACCGAGTCTAAGCTAAACACTTGATCGGAAGGGCTGGGCTCTTTCTTATGTGTAAAACTCTACGTTTACTGTCAATTCAAATGTGTGTGTGTGTGTGTGTGTGTTATGGCCTCAGTTGAGGGCACATGCTGTGGACCTGAATGGGAATCAGGTGGAAAACCCCATTGACATCATGATCAACGTCATTGACATGAACGACAACCGGCCAGAGTTCATCCAGCAGATCTGGAATGGAAGCGTTCCTGAAGGCTCCAAACCAGGTTAACTTATTTCACATGTGTGCGTGTGCGTGTGTGTGTGTGTGTGTGTGTGTGTGTGTTATTATAGTTTGTCTTTAATTCCCATAGGCACCACAGTGATGACAGTGACGGCAGTGGACAAGGATGACCCCAAAACCCTTAACGGGCAGCTGCGCTACAAGATTGTGTCCCAGAATCCCCACAGCCCCAGTCCAAACATGTTCACCATTAACAACCGCACTGGAAGTGTCATCACTGTCGCTGCGGGCCTGGACCGAGAGGTACATCAACACCACCTCATCTCATCATAAACCATAGAAGACAATGACCTGCATAATGAGCCTTTCACACAGGTGTGTCACTGGGTACCAAACAATGCGAACAAGACAAAACAAAGATATATACATATATATACGCAGTGGGAAAAGACACATTTTTTTCAAGATGATTCCAAATTATATATATATATATATATATACATATATTTATATATATATATATATTTAGTTAGGGTTGGAAATGTCTAGCCTGGTAATGCCAAACTCTGCTACTTCACTTTGCTTCGTGGGCAGAGTCTGGAGTGGCATCATTGAAAAGGGTTTTCTTGATCGCGAGGGGGCGCCTGTCTGAAGTGTAAAATCATTGGTTACCCGTAAGCCAATCACAGAACGTTTGGGAATGCGCCAGCTCATCGAACTAAACCTGTAAACACATAAGTTATATGATGAGGAAACCAAACAATCGAGCGAAAAACCGGAGTGCACATGGCTGTGAAGGACTTTTGAAGATCATGTGAAGTAAATCTACGCATCCACAGCACAGTCGGGCCTCTAAACTAATACTTGACAGCAGAGAGAAACAGGACAATATTTGCAGCCAACTGTTAGGATTAGTTCTGTTAAACACAGCTCTGTGTTCATCTCGAGTCTGTCGGAAATGCTGCAACTTAATTTCAAGATTACAGCATGACATGAACTGAAAAGAGAAGAGACACTGAGCTGTCAAAAGGGTGCTAGTTTGAGCTCGACAGATAAGAGAGGTCGAGATACTCCCTCTGTCGGGGGTACGGACACAACATCACCTCCATTCAAAATCTTTAACAAACACTCTTCGTGTTCAGTTTGCACATGCCACGACTATTCTCCACAACAGAGCGAACTGCATCCCGTGTCTCTATATCGGCAGTCGTTTCGATTTCCCCAATCTTAAACTCGCCGCTTAGCGTCTACGTCACGGCTCTCAGCCCGACCTCTGTTCGCTGATTGGTCGGCGGAGGAAAACGAAGAGACAAGTCGCCGTCTCAGACTGAGTACAGAACCCGAAATAAATAGAGCGGAAGTGAAAATGTTGAAAACTTGAAAATCTATTCTCATAAACTCTTGGAATATGTATCCTCTCCACAATATTGTCACTAATAAAACACACAAAAAAAGTTACAATTACAACAACCATTGCAATTTTACTAATATTTCAAGTGCAATCTTTCTGTGTAAAAAATATATATTTTATCATACATATTTCATTAGTTTGAATATGGAGAAACATGAAACACATTGGTGGAATTGTTAGTGACTCTTCACATCCAGCACACAATCCCTAAAACCGTATTCTGGACAAATGTGGGCACAATAGTTTTGATTTATTTTTAAGAAATACTTCCCTTGATCTGAGCGGTACAAGACTTGGCTACTTTTCCTAAGTTTGCCTCTTGAACACACATTTTTTTGACTCAATTTTACAATGTAAAGTAAATGTAAATGTAAAATGTGAAAGAAAACCTCCTTAATCTTGTATTTGGGTCAAAAATGGGCACCCATAGAAATGAATGGGAAAAACTGTAAAAAATAAGCCAAAATGAGACACCAGGTGACAGCAAAGTCACTTCATCTTCAGGTTTTAGATCTAAGAACTTATTGGAATGATATTTCAATGTAGTAAAAAAATAAAAAAACATAAAATAAGCATAATTTACATAGAAAATATGGTACTTTTTGAAGTAAATAAATTCAAAAATACCCCCGAAATAAAAAAAAAACACATCATAAATGGATAGACAAAACTTTATCGAAGACAGTGATATAACATTTATAATAAATAAATTAGGATATTTATAAATTAGGATCGCACCTGAGTCCTCTGTGCCCACATGTGTCCATAATTACAGGATTAAGGGCTATAAAGTGAATACGGTTTGAGGGCTAGACGTCTACCGTCTGCAGCATTAACAGATTTAACAAGAACTGCCAGTCATCACAATAGCTTTTTCACAGCAGCCACAAACTGATTCTTACAAACACATTATTTTCAATAAATACCTTATTTAAGTGCAATATTATTTTAATTACTTTTAAATAAAAAAAATCTGTTTGCAAAGTACTATACTTGAAATCTGTAATTACTATAATGCATTCTAATGTATGTAATTTAAGAAACAGTTTGCATTACAACTCCTTTGGGGTTACTGGGGAGAGTGAATTAATCCCAAAATAATAATTTACCACGAACATCACCATAGAAATGCAGCGCAAAGCAAACGTAACTTTTTAATTTTCATCTTATAAAAGCATCAGATTACAATTCACAAACACAGTCAGATTAGGACCCAATGAGGCAAAACTCTTGATTACATCATGCATCCTACAAGAGGACCACACTGAAGTTAGTTGGCATTGGAACAGTTAAGGATCCCTAATGCATAAAAAGTTTTTAATTTCCTTCTTACTTTGTGGTGAAATGGACATGATCATTAAATTTTCCTTTTTCAAAGTGAAAAGAAACGCAGGAAAGTGTATCTGTGAGCATTCCCTGTGTTTGCAGAAAGTGCCTCAGTACACACTGATCATCCAAGCCACTGACATGGAGGGAAATCCCACCTACGGCCTTTCTAATACAGGCACTGCGGTCATCACCGTCACAGACATCAACGACAACCCTCCAGAGTTCACCTCGGACACGGTGAGGACACACACACACACACACGCTTTACTCCAATCAATCAGCACTGACCTGAGATCAGCCTAACAATGAGTGTTTATCATCTTCTTTTTAGAGCTGCTTTACAGCACAATTTAACTTTCATTTGTAACAGATCATGACACGGCCTCTGTTTTACCGTCACATTCATGTGTTACCGTACGTTCTGCAGTTTTTTGGCGAGGTACCAGAGAACCAGGTGAACATGAACGTGTTGAACTTGACGGTGACGGATAAGGACCAGCCCAACACTGGAGCGTGGCGCGCTCTCTACAGGATAGCGGCGGGCGACCCCGCGGCTCATTTCTCTGTGCACACTGACCCCGTCTCTAACCAAGGCCTGCTGACCGTCGTCAAGGTGAGGGACATACTGACATTCACAAACACTTCACACAACACACCGGACAACATAGCGGTCAGGGAGAGAGAGGAAACCTTCAACCAGAACAGAGTCGAACTATATCTTCTTCATCCAACGGAGAAGAAAACCATGCTAGTATCATATTAATTTAATGAGGTGCTCTTTGTTGATGTTCTTTTCATAGTTCCACTTCCTCTTACTCTTTTACCTGTGTATATATACGTGTGTTTAGATTAGTCATGTGATTGTGATTTACTATTCGGTTCTGATTCTCTGCTTGCAACAAAGTTTACTGTACAATTTAGATTTTTGACCACAGGCTCTTAGTATACTCTACAGTAAGAAAGACATTTCCCTTCCCTGGAAATTGATATTTCTTAGAATTAATAAACAATTAACGCTTAGTGTTCGTGGGACGAACAGGTTGATTGTAATATACATTTGACTATTAAGTTAATTGTATTAACTGATCCACATATTCATAATCAATTTTAACTAATTATTATTAATATTTCATAGAGTTAATCCGTTACATTTTATCCAAGTTTACTTATATTAAATACATTTTACAAGTAAATATATTTCTGTTGTTCCAAATGTGTTTTAAAAACTACATTTTACATTCACAATGTATTTTCTCACTTCTTGAAGTAAATATTAAAATAAATTTTGGTATTTGAATCTTAGCTAAATTAAATTATTAAATATGAAAAATGTATTCTGTTTAAAAGATGTGCTGTTTCAGTGCAATTACGAACAATACAAACTTTCTTTTATCTTAAATATTTATTTCCTTGTTAAAGATCAAACTCATCACCTTCTGGCCAAAAATCACTGTTTTATAGCTAAAGTCTGCTTTACATTTCAGTAATTTCTACATTTTTGCAGGCAGGCGATTTATTTTTATATATTTTTTATTTCTTTGATAATTTCTCAAAACAAAAGACCACTAAAGAGTCGTACCAACTATAATTGTGGGCCTATTATATTTTTCATTTGCTTGTCAGCCTTTTTCTTGGCCGAATCAGAAACACATTTGATCATTTAGCAGACGCTTTTATCCAAATGAGGAGAGCAATAGAAGCAGTGAAACTAACAACATGACGACAATATGCAAGAACTGTGAGCCTTCCCAGTTTAGTCTAACACTGTATACGTATAATAAAAGATATATACACTGTAAAAAATATTTTCAAGATTTGTTATCACAACATTTTTTCTTTTGTCAAATCAACTTTATAATAATTTATTTAGTTGAGATAACTTATTATTTTGACTTTCTGATGGTTAAATGAATCTCCTTCATTGTATTAACTCACTTTTTCCAGTTCAATCAACTTAAAATTTTAAGGCAACCAGGTTACTTACTTTTTTAAGTTAAACCAACACTTTTTTTACAGTGTAGAGTAGAGGAGAAGAGAAAATAAAGTGTTAGTATTCAACAGTTGACGAAAAAGGTTCGTCTTCGGCCGTTTATTGCAAGTGGCCATGGACTTAGCCGGTGGAGTTAGATCATTCCTTCTGTGCAGACGTCAAACAGCTCGATAAACACACACTCGATGAACACACACTCGATAAACACACACTCAATGAACACACACTCGATGAACACACACTCGCTGCTGCAACTCACAAAGGCACTGTTTTTGTTTCCTGAAGGACTATAGATTTACAAAACACACCTGCCAGAGGGCGCCCTCGAGCAGAAACAACACAAGCGCGACTCAGAAGTTAGAGACCACATCAAATACATTATATTTATATTGCATAAGAATAAAGTATATTTATAACACAATGCTAATCAACATGGCCTATTGTCTTCTATAAAATGTATATTGTTTGAGTCATTCATAAACCACATCAGATCACAGATCTTATTTTAAACACTCGACTAACTTTATATAGTGAGTTAGGTGCAAAGTATGGTATTAGTCTTGTTAATTGCTGGACTTTGATGCTGTGCTAAGCTAACGTACGAGCTAGACCAGTTGCCAGGAGCAATTATATTTTCTGACTAGACATGTTTGTGTATCTAAGATTTTTTACGAAGTGCATTGAATGCAAAGAAGGTGAAGTGAGAAGTGTGTTAAAAGGGCCGAGGGATGAAACAGTGTAAATAGAAGGGCTTCAGTAAGAATAATGAAGGGAATGCAAATAAACATACAAGCTTTCATGGATAGACTATTGGAGGATATCATGGACTTCCCCAACTGATCCTAAAGTAATGAACCTTTTCTGCATATTATAAAACAGTTATTTCGAATCCTTGATTCTGATTTAAATAGTAATAAAAATCTTTATTTTCCATCTTGGTTTCAGTCCATTGACTACGAGATCAGCAGATCGCTGGTGCTGACAGTGGTGGCAGTGAATGAGAGTCCTCTAGATAAAGGAATCCGTCTCCCCCGTCAGTCCACAGCCACCGTCTCCATCCGCGTCACCGACGTCAACGAGAGCCCTTATTTCCAGCACAACCCTACGCTACTGGAGCTACAGGAGGGCTTACAGGCCGAGTCTGCGATCGCTAGCTTCACTGCCCTGGATCCAGACCGCTTCATGCAGCAGAGCCTCAGGTGACGCTAACATCCCTCACGCTAACATCACTCGCCTCAGGTGACGCTAACATACCTCACGCTAACATCGCTCGCCTCAGGTGACGCTAACATCACTCGCGCTAACATCACTCGCCTCAGGTGACGCTAACATCACTCGCGCTAACATCACTCGCCTCAGGTGATGCTAATATCCCTTGCGTTAACATCGCTCGCCTCAGGTGACGCTAACATCACTCGCGCCAACATCACTCGCCTCAGGTGACGCTAACATCACTCGCGCTAACATCACTCGCCTCAGGATATGCTAACATCCCTTGCGCTAACATCGCTCGCCTCAGGTGACGCTAACATCACTCGCGCCAACATCGCTCGCCTCAGGTGACGCTAACATCGCTCGCCTCAGGTGACGGTAACATCACTCACGCTAACATCACTCACCTCAGGTGACGCTAACATCACTCGTCTCAGGTGACGCTAACATCACTCGCCTCAGGTGACGCTAACATCGCTTGCGCTAACATCGCTCGCCTCAGGTGACGCTAACATCGCTTGCGCTAACATCGCTCGCCTCAGGTGACGCTAACATCACTCGTCTCAGGTGACGCTAACATCACTCGTCTCAGGTGACGCTAACATCACTCGCCTCAGGTGACGTTAACATCGCTTGCGCTAACGTCGCTCGCCTCAGGTGACGCTAACATCGCTCGCCTCAGGTGACGCTAACATCACTTGTCTCAAGTGACGCTAACATCACTCGCCTCAGGTGACGCTAATGCTAACATCGCTCGCCTCAGGTGACGCTAACATCACTCGCCTCAGGTGACGCTAACTTCCCTCGCGCTAACATCACTCGCCTCAGGTGACGCTAACATCACTCGCCTCAGGTGACGCTAACATCACTCGCCTCAGGTGACGCTAACATCGCTCGCCTCAGGTGACGCTAACATCACTCGCCTCAGGTGACGCTAACATCACTCGCCTCAGGTGACGCTAACATCACTCGCCTCAGGTGACGCTAACATCACTCGCCTCAGGTGACGCTAACATCACTCGCCTCAGGTGACGCTAACATCACTCGCGCTAACATCACTCGCCTCAGGTGACGCTAACATCACTCGCGCTAACATCACTCGCCTCAGGTGATGCTAATATCCCTTGCGTTAACATCGCTCGCCTCAGGTGACGCTAACATCACTCGCGCCAACATCACTCGCCTCAGGTGACGCTAACATCACTCGCCTCAGGATATGCTAACATCCCTTGCGCTAACATCGCTCGCCTCAGGTGACGCTAACATCACTCGCGCCAACATCGCTCGCCTCAGGTGACGCTAACATCGCTCGCCTCAGGTGACGGTAACATCACTCACGCTAACATCACTCACCTCAGGTGACGCTAACATCACTCGTCTCAGGTGACGCTAACATCACTCGCCTCAGGTGACGCTAACATCGCTTGCGCTAACATCGCTCGCCTCAGGTGACGCTAACATCGCTTGCGCTAACATCGCTCGCCTCAGGTGACGCTAACATCACTCGTCTCAGGTGACGCTAACATCACTCGTCTCAGGTGACGCTAACATCACTCGCCTCAGGTGACGCTAACATCGCTTGCGCTAACGTCGCTCGCCTCAGGTGACGCTAACATCGCTCGCCTCAGGTGACGCTAACATCACTTGTCTCAAGTGACGCTAACATCACTCGCCTCAGGTGACGCTAATGCTAACATCGCTCGCCTCAGGTGACGCTAACATCACTCGCCTCAGGTGACGCTAACTTCCCTCGCGCTAACATCACTCGCCTCAGGTGACGCTAACATCACTCGCCTCAGGTGACGCTAACATCACTCGCCTCAGGTGACGCTAACATCGCTCGCCTCAGGTGACGCTAACATCACTCGCCTCAGGTGACGCTAACATCACTCGCCTCAGGTGACGCTAACATCACTCGCCTCAGGTGACGCTAACATCACTCGCCTCAGGTGACGCTAACATCACTCGCCTCAGGTGACGCTAACATCGCTCGCCTCAGGTGACGCTAACATCACTCGCCTCAGGTGACGCTAACATCGCTCGCCTCAGGTGACGCTAACATCACTCGCCTCAGGTGACGCTAACATCACTCGCCTCAGGTGACGCTAACATCGCTCGCCTCAGGTGACGCTAACATCGCTCGCCTCAGGTGACGCTAACATCACTCGCCTCAGGTGATGCTAACATCGCTCGCCTCAGGTGACGCTAACATCGCTCGCCTCAGGTGACGCTAACATCGCTCGCCTCAGGTGACGCTAACATCACTCGCCTCAGGTGACGCTAATGCTAACATCGCTCGCCAACATATTAGTCAGAGCAGAAGTCACATGTGTTTGAGGATGAGCCACAGAGTTAAAACCAAGGAGACTGGAGAGGCAATCAAGTCCTTTACACCTCCTTCAACAGAAGAACATGAACAGAATACATATTTTAGTATATCTTAACGTTGTTGCTCTCTCCTCAGGTACAGCACGCTGTCTGACCCTGCTAACTGGCTGAGAATTGATCCCATGAATGGACACATCACAACTATTGGCGTTCTAGACAGAGAGTCTCCATTTGTGCAAGACAATATCTACACGGCTACGTTCCTCGTCACTGACAGCGGTATGTGTTCTGTCTGAGGAAATAAGTATATTTGTATTCTTTTACTGTTTAGACACTTGTTTGGCCGTGAGCCCTTGTGTTTGTGTGTTTCTTTATTTGTGTCTACGTGATGTTGTCGTGTATCAGATGGGAGTAGGGAGCGCCTATACACTGGATGAATTATTGGACCTCATAATGCAAATGCAAAAATGCAAAAGTGGTGTTGCGTTATCACTTTTTTTCTGCATTATGGGTGAGAAATAGACGCTTAGACAAGCGTTATGGGTGAGAAATCCGCGTGTATTCGATGTGAAATTCAATGTAGTAAGCACTCCAGGCGGCTAGGTGGCGATGTGAAGCACTCCCACAGAACAACACCAAGTCTGCGCGCCCGCGTACAACCTTCTCTGTCATGCAGACTTTTGCGTTTTTACCCTTTAGACGGGAACGCGGGGAGGGTTCCACTGTGGAGGGTGGGTTCACTTTATTGCGTTTTTAAGCCCCAAAAACCCCGTCGCCATGTAAACGAAAGGCACATCCAATAAAATATTTTTAAGTTTTCAAGAAAATATTTGTACGTAGACAAGAATGCTATAACACAGGAAAACTGTTTAGAGATGTCACCAATGGCAAACACAACGTTGCTGTCACGTATGTTCAGTTAGCGTCACCATCATGGACACGTTTCCTTTCATCAGTCATCAGTCACCATGAACACTAATCCTCCAGCACAGCTGCTCATCATTGAGGTCGTTATCTCTGTGTATTTAGTCCCAGTCTTCAGTGTTTGTCTTTGTTTGTGTATGTTTGTTAGCTGTACACAACGGTTCTTTAGTTTTAATTAACTATGTTGATAATTTGATCTAGTCTTCATTCATCTTGTGACAGCTGCAGTGCTTAAATAGTCTCTGATGGATGAGCAGACTAGAGGCAGGTGTGAGAGGGAGTCCTCCGGATAGATAGTGTGACAATAATGAGTGTGTTTGTTGTGCAGGGATTCCTCCGGCCAGCAGCACCGGTACTCTGCAAATCCTTCTTCTGGATGTCAACGATAATGCCCCTGAGGTTTTCCCGCCAGAGACGGTGATGTGTGAAAAACCTGAGAACAACGGCATTAACATCACAGCGTTGGATGCAGACATCGACCCCAACACTGGACCTTTCTCTTTCGACTTGCCCTTACAACCTATCGATGTTAGAAAGAACTGGACAATCACACGTCTCAGTGGTGAGAAAACACACACACACACACACACACACACACACAGAAAACAACATCTCATCGGCCTCCTGAACTGTCTACACCACACATGAGCAGTTCGATTTTAAAATGGGGTCTGGGGCTGCAAAGGGAGTGCTGGTCTGTGGAAAAGTTCAGCGGAAAATACGTTTTAAAACTACATTAAAATAATGACAAAATATCAAAGTTGTTATGAATTTAATATGTAATAATAAACTGGTCAGAAATCATGAGTTCAATCCCAACTACTTAATTATATTGACAGCCATTTATTCAGTTTTAGACATCTAACTCTAATGGTAGAAAAGACAAAAACATGAGAACTTTTCACATTGAGCTGAACCCTAGTTTATCATCTTCTAAACCCCTCATTTAACCCAAGGTAAAACAATGTTTCACTCTTGTAATTTTAAAAGGACATGAGCACCACTTTTACAAGATTAAGCATACATTGCGTTGCCAGGTGTAGTGTGAAACAATGTACCTTTAGAATGCAACAGCCAATCCTGTATCCCCTTATGGAACATATGCAGAGTTTCCCACTCATCTAGATCTGATCCCCAGTAAAAACAAACAACAAAACAGAGGTCGGGGACTGGTTAAGCGAACAATATCCGTGTGACTGAAGAGCAGGGACGTCAAATTTGTAAAACCTGGCAAAGGTGTATGGCGAGGACAGACGTCAGCCATGGACACTCAAGAGGAGGCCATTCCCCTGGTGGAGTTTGCCTTCACCTGTAGGGAACTACAATCCTAAGGACCTAAGCTATGCCAGCGCAATCACGTCTACTACCCAATGAGAGCGTGTCTGCTCTGACTGTCGGACCTGGCCAGAGTACTCCGTGTACACCCTTAGGGCCTGGACCGGGCAGAGAGTGTGTGGGTCTGCTCATCCTCAGTAGAAGCGAGAGCAGAGACCGTTTCAGCTTGGGAAGCACCTTAGGCACATAGACTCTTCTTGGACTAAGGACAACTTTACTCCCAAACTCGAGGCAAGATGCATCTACTGAGACAACTTGCTTGACTGATGCCGAAGCTAGCAGAGTGGTCTGTAGTAAAAGAGGCCGTAACTCTTTATTATAACGTTAATTATGAAATAATCATTTACAAAAATGATTATATAGTCATTATAGTCAATCAGCCAGTCCTCGGTCTCTAATTCCAGCAGTATGCCCTCGGTCACTGATGTCGTGGGTTCACACTCCTGGTCAGACTCACTGGGCGTTCCTCTTCCTTTTTATGGATTTAGTCTGTCTCAGTTTTCTCAGTCTCATGTAAGTCCGTGACGGGGATATTAGATATCTGTGGGGACTACACAAACATATTACCAGATTATTAAAATGAATGGCAAAATGGAATATTTGGAAATGTAAACCAATATTTCCTACTGGCACAATAAAGCAAAAGATGTACATTTTGCACCTCAATGAAGTTGCCACACAGTAAATACTGTCATGGACACTTCCAGTATAGACACTTTTTATTAATTTTGTATTGTATTACTGACTCAAGAACACACATGCAGTTAAATAAATTTGAATTATTTAAAGTATTGTAAGAAAGCTCTGCTTAACTCGACTCTTTAAATGCATTTCCTAGGTGATTATGCTCAACTCCTTCTTAAAATGGACTTTTTGGAGAACGGGATCTACAAGATTCCCATCATAATCACAGACTCTGGTAAGATGCCGATGTCCAACACGTCGTATCTGCGAGTGAAGGTGTGTGTGTGTGATCCTGACGGAGACTGCACAGAGCAGGAGCGCGTCACGAGCGCTGGCCTCGGGACTGGACTGATGATCACCCTCCTGCTCGGCATCCTCCTCCTCCTCAGTGAGTGATGATCATGACTGTCTGCCCTCTCAGTAGTCTCTGAGGAAAGATGTCGATGCTGAAAAGGAAAAGAAATGTTTTGTTCTCTCTGCAGTAATAACTTTCTCTCTGTGTAGTCCTTGTGTTGTTGTTCGTTGTGTGGATGAAAAGGAGAGATAAAGAACGACTGGCCAAGCAGCGGCTGATCGACCCCGACGAGGACATCAGAGACAACATCCTGAAATATGACGAAGAGGGAGGAGGCGAGGAAGACCAGGTACTAGTTTCAAGCAATCCGAGGGTGTTCGCCTCTGTCTCGTTCACTTCATGTCTGGCGTTACGCACAGTTCAGTGTGGCCGCTCCAATTTACCTTCAATGAAATCTAACCTTAGTGTAATTGACAGAATTACTACAAAATATTTTGCTACTTAAAGTTAAAGATTTTTAATAAATCTCAAGAGATGGTGGATGTGTGAAATTTCATGATTTTTGAGTGACGTTAGTCTACTAGTAGAATTTTCTAAAAAATAATTTGCTATGCCTAAAAGTTATAAGTCTATTTCCCTCATTTTACATATAAAACGCACGTGGACTGACATTTTTCCATTGTCTGGACTTTATTAATGGAGTATATAAACAGGCGTTTCAATATATTGGTATTAAATGTATTTTCTGAGACTTTATATTTCAAGTTTTTACTGCAAATGTCGAAATGCGGGCTCTTTGGTCCATCAGTGCTTGAGTTGAGTTGGACTGATCACATTGGAATAAAATATCTCATAATAAAATACAAAATTGACTGATTTATGAATGTATAGTTCTCATCAGTAGGAAAAACAGATAAACGCATTCGTTTGTTGTATTTTTGATCCTGAAAGAACACAGAACAACAAAAGAACGAATCATAGGCCTACATGGAGTACGTGTTATGCTTCTTGCGCAGACTTTTGGGACTGGTGTCAAAGCGCAATGAATGAAATGCACGAATGGTAATTTAATAGACCCTCTGAAATGAACGAGGGAGAGCTGTGTTTTATTTTCACAACATTTCATATGGTTTGGAACATGAAAATTCATAATATCAAGCCACTGAACGAACATATAGAGCACGATTGAAATAGCATTGACAGGTATGCTTAATCGAGATGATACAACGTCTCCGCCTCCAAATAGGGACTGATGCAACGCTTTTCTCTTTGCTGAATCGTTGAAGTTTAGCGTATTACCAACAAGACGCACTTCACGAGCACAAGATCCAGTGAGTGATTTGCGTAATGGAGTCGGGACATACATCCTTCAGTTTAGCTCGCACCCCATTGAACCTCCCTGACATGTTACTGGCCCCATCAAAGCAGTGGCCCTTCAGTCGCTCCAGTCGCACCAGGACATCCCTTAAGCACAGAAATAAGGTTTCAGCCGGCGTGTCAGGGGCGTTGTAAAAGCCAAGATAGAAATTTTGAACTTCTAGCTGGTCATTGCTAAACTGCAGACTGATTGAAAATTGTTCCTTGCCACTGATATCTGTTGTCCCATCCGCAGTTAACCCAAAAAAGTCAATTTTTGATGCTGTTGCTCCAATTGTTCTCAATATGTCATGCGCAAATAGCTCCAGAATCTCATTTTGGAGGTTGTTTGACATCCAGTTGTCTCTCCTTTTCAGCCACTTATCGAGGTCAGGATCATTGCACACTCGCTCCTGCATTAGCTGCCATAAGACTCCATCCTGATTAGCATCTCCTCTCAGTGGAAGCCCCGGGCGCCCCAAGAATCTTACGCAGCTGAAAGTTCGAGGATTTTCCGCGCTGTTCTCTGCTAATTTGCCTTGGCTTCAGAGAGTACTGCATTTATTGGAGTGTTTTTCAACGCTGCCAATCTTTAGGTTGCATCTGAATGAGTTTTAGATTTCTCGTGGTCTCTGATTTTCTCTGTTGCTTTTTTCCAATTTGAAAACCCCTTATCTTTTACAAAACAAACTGTCGGTGGTCGGGCACAGAAGTCTACTTTTGACAGCCGATCTGCACACCCCACACACATCCTCCAGCCGCTTCCACTCTCAGAACCAGGATGCCCTACAGCTGCGTGCGAAGCTCTCCCCACTTTTTTTTTTTGACTGGAAAATTATAATGAAGGACTGTGCACCTGCAACTGCTTTTTGACTATCCGCGTGTGGCGACGCGGGATGAGGGAGAGGCTCGTAGTGAGGGTGGCGGCGGTCGAGGGTTCACTCACTCGGGTCATCTGCCGCTGCTCATCCGGCGGCTTTCTGCCGGTGGTGCTGCACATAGCAATCAATCGGATGTAAAATCCAGTGATGTTGCCCCCCCTTCTCTTATTCGCCTTGCTGTGGGAGCTTTTAAAAAGAAATTTGAAATTAGTTTTTGAGTCATTACCGGAATTCTTGCGGGACTCGCGACCTTAAATCCTTAAATTATGTCTCCGCTGCGGCTGCGCATGTATATACGCAGAGGGGAGATGGACGGACGCCCCCCCTGTTCCAACGTCTATGATCCATACATTGAACAAATCAGAAAAAGACTGATTTTGTTGACTTCGCTACACAAAATAACACACTAACTAATAGGATTGCTTTATAAAAACAAATGAAAATGAAACCCCATCACACATTTCAAGGTTTAAATAAAGTGTTGGGACAGTTTATTGATTTAAAACAGGGTTGCATTGAGTTAAGAGTTTATTTCCTTTGTGAAGTTAAAATAAGAAACACAGAATCTTATTCTTCCGAAATTCACACACTTTTGCTTCACCATACTATATGCACACAGATTTCCACCCCATAACGTTCATCTAAACGCAGAATAAAAAGTAATAATGCAACAACGTTCTCATGGCATCAGTCACCAACACCAGCCCCTTGTTAGCCCGTCTATTTAAACCTCTGTGCTTCAGTTGTCGTGTGCCGGTCGTTGCTTCTGGACATGTATTCCAGTCGTTGTTCTCCAGCCGTTGTTGATTTTACCCTTGTTCCTGTATTATTTACTGAAACTGTTTGGATTATTCTTTTTTTTGCAAAGTAAGCGCCATTTTCGGGGCCGCAACATGCTCAAAAACTCACCAAATTTGGCACGCATGTCAGGACTGGTGAAAAATTTCGTATTTTGTGGGTTTCGCAGATGGGCGTGGCAAAATGGCTCCCTAGCGCCACCTAGAAAATTGCAAAAAATTAGCCCCTCGTCCACGTTCAACCTACAAGCACGAAATTTGGTGGGGATGTGTACCATATCAAGACGCACAAAAAAGCCTCAAGAACCCATACCCTAAACGCGACAGGAAGTCGGCCATTTTGAATTTGGCGGCCATTTTGGGACGATTTACACACTCCGTACTTTAACGAACTCCTCCTAGGGATTTAGTCGGATCGACTTCAAATTTCTGCTGTGCCTTCTAAAGGCATTGACGATGTAAAGTTGTGCTATCTGCGCGTTTTCATCGATGGGCGTGTCCGTGGCGTCGATGATTCGCCATGAAACAGGAAGTTGTAGTAACTTGGCTGTAAATGCCCTGATCTGCACGAAATTCGACACATTTGACAAGAGTCCCGCCCTGAACAAATCTACATGCCGACATTCACCCACAGTCATAGCGCCACCTGCTGGCAACAGGAAGTGATCTTTAACGAAGCAGCCCCGGCCGCATGTTTGACCGACCTGTACGAAATTTCTGTGGTACATCTACCATGTCCAGACGCACAGAAAAGTCTCTTACAGCGATGCCCTAAACTCAACAGGAAGTCAGCCATTGCTAATTTTACCGCCAGTTTTGGATGATTTACTCATTACGTACTTTAACGAACTCCTCCTAGGGCTTTAGTCGGATCGACTTCACATTTCTGCTGTGCCTTCTAAAGGCATTGACGATGTAAAGTTGTGCTATCTGCACGTTTTCGTCGATGGGCGTGTCCGTGGCGTCGATGATTCGCCATGAAACAGGAAGTTGTTGTAACTTGGCTGTAAATGCCCAGATCTGCACGAAATTTGACACATTTGACAAGAGTCCTGCCCTGAACAAATCTACATGCCGACATTCACCCACGGTCATAGCGCCACCTGCTGGCAACAGGAAGTGATCTTTAACGAAGCAGCCCCCGCCGCATGTTTGACCGACATGTACGAAATTTCTGTGGTACAACTAACATGTCCAGACGCACAGAAAAGTCTCTTGGAGTGATACCCTAAACTTAACAGGTAATCGGCCATTTGTAATTTTACCGCCATTTTTGGATGATTTACTCATTACGTACTTTAACTAACTCCTCCTAGGGATTTAGTCGGATCGACTTCAAATTTCTGCTGTGCCTTCTAAAGGCATTGACGATGTAAAGTTGTGCTATCTGCGCGTTTTCCTCAATGGGCGTGTCTGTGGCGTCGATGATTCGCCATGAAACAGGAAGTTGTAGTAACTTGGCTGTAAATGCCCAGATCTGCACGAAATTTGACACATTTGACAAGAGTCCCGCCCTGAACAAATCTACATCCCGACATTCACCCACAGTCATAGTGCCACCTGCTGGCAACAGGAAGTGACCTTTAACGAAGCAGCGAACCAAATTCACAGCCGCACCGGCTGAGCCGCAGAATATGCAACGCGGCCGCCTCACACCCCGACGCGCTACAGGTGCGAGGGCCCGCCCATCGCTGCTTGCGGCTTTAATTTGTATTTATGTTTGTCTATTAAAATTGTATTCTCTCTCTGTTGCAAGAAAATAAGTGGTCTATGCATCAATATTGTTTCCTCTTCCCCACACACTAACGTAAATAAGCGTCTTCTGATAAAGCTGCGCTCCTATTGTCGACACCGCCACCAAGTGCTTTGGCTATGTGCTTGCAGACACACCAACACAATTCTCTGAATGCTAACAATGGTCTTAATGCTTTTGCAAACAGGATTATGACCTGAGCCAGCTGCAACTGCCAGATACAGAGACTCACGGCATCCGCAGGTTTGATGAGAGACCTCAGTACCCCGAGCCCCATTACCCCATCAGATCCACCGCTCCTCATCCTGGAGATATTGGAGATTTCATCAGTGAGGTGAAGTGTCACTGTACAAGCATCTAACTATTAAACATAGAGAAGAAAAACCAGTTGAAAACTACAGAGGTGTGTGTTCATTAGTGTAGCAGATGATGTGTTGTGTTCGCAGGGTCTAAGGGCTGCTGATAAAGATCCAACAGCTCCACCGTATGACTCCCTGTTGGTGTTTGACTACGAGGGTGACGTCTCCACTGCGGGATCCCTCAGCTCCGTCAACTCCTCTAGCAGCGATGGAGACCAGGATTACCATTACCTCAAAGACTGGGGTCCCCGCTTCACTAAACTAGCTGACATGTATGGTGGCACCGATGAGTAGAAGAGATCAGATTACAGCTGCAGAAATGTGTTTTAAAGGATCAACACAAGCAAACACAACTTCCCAAGGCAAACTGCTAACGATTAACTCAAGGCTTAAAGCAATAGTTATGCATATATGTGGAACACTTTCAGAGTATGATACTCGTCGTTACACTTGAACTTTACAGTGTAGAAGCACAGGGATTGAATGTGCCTTTTTGTACATTTATTCTGAATGATTTATGTTCAAAGCTTTAATTATACTGACTTAAGGAGTGATTATGAGATTTAAGTTTGTGTTTATTCTACAAAAGATCATGCTTTTCTTTTTTGCTCACAAACTGTTTTTCAAAGGGATTATTTAAATTTCTTTTTCTTTTTCAAATATCGGAAGACAAATTGTAAGACACTATACAGTTCACAGGATTCTTAGCCTATTTGTTCAACATGAATTTAACATTTGCACATAGTTTGAAATAAAAAAAATATAACTGAAGTGTTTGTAAGTTTCCTACATTCATTGTGGTTACAGTGCATGTACACATATGTTTCAACACATAATTTCTGAATTACTTCTAAATTATTAAATTATTACTATTAAATTATTATGATAAATTCAGCTCAAAGAGAGTTTATGTCAGACTGTAGTGATGTAGTGACGTTCGTCACCGAGGCTTCGAAGCTAGTGTCAAAAAAACAAAACATCCCACATGAACCCCTGTACTGGAGCTTGATTCGTCTTGCCCAAACCATGTGTTCAGTGACGTCCGAAGCTTCGTTTCGACACACAACCATGTGACTGCTTCATATTCTGATTAAAATAGCGCGAACTCTTTGCGGAGGTTTCGAGTGTCATGCGCTGTGAACTGAGGCGACTGAGGTTTCCAGCATGGATCCAGCCAAGCAAAGAAGCCGTTCGGAAGTCTGGCAGCATTTTCAGGTCGTATTTACCAATACAGTCAGCTAATTATTAATATTATTATTATTTTGTAAAACGAATATTATTTTAAAATGAATATAAAAATTAATTATAATGTAAATGGATATTTACATGTAATTTTATGCATATTCAGTGTAATATGTTAAATAATAGGCCTACATTATGTATATGAAACAAAAAAGTACTCAAGTGAATACGTGTGACCGCCTTTTGTTGGTTGAGTGGCCAATATGTTCAGCTTTCTTATAATAACAACACATCGTCAATGTTGAGACATTTTAGAGCTAAACGTGAAAACACATATTTTTGTAGTGGACCAACAACTTTGTCAATTTCTGTATTTATAATGAGGTATCTTAAAGGCACACTGAGTAACTCTTGGCCACTAGGGGCGTTAAACCTGTAACTTTCACATCTAGCGCCCCTAGAGGCCACAAGTGCCGCAGCACTGTCGCAAAAGTCAACAAATAGTGAGCCGGTCAGCCTCGTGTGTCTTTAGATTGTGGTGCAGACAGTAGTTGAGCTGTTGGTTGAAGAGAGATAAGCGTGAGCTCTGGGGGCCGTGGATGAGGACGAAGAAGCAGCAGACCATCTACTCGGACAGGCTCGAGGATCTTCAACAGAGGAGGAGAGCTGACATGCACGTATGTGTACACTATTTACCTATTTTTTATACTGTCATTTATAAGACTACTATGTTGACAATTTTGTTTTCTGCATCTTGTGCCAGACTACAATCACTTGAAGTAGACCAAAGAGATGCCCTGATCCAATGGGCTTTATGCACAGCTGCACTACTTCCTGAACTTCAGCCAGCTCCTTGTTTCCTGTCTGCTATTATTGGACAAACTTGATTCATTCAGGTGTGTCTGATTATTGTTGCCATGACTACTGAGGTCAGGCACACCTGGATTAATCAGTTTGTCCAATAACGGCAGACAGGAAACAAGGAGCTGGCTGAAGTTCAGGAAGTAGTGCAGATGGGCATAAAGCCGATTAGTGCTAGACAGGTTACCTGGACTGCTTTTGATCTCCTTGCCCTGCAGGACAATCCTCAAACGCCTCCTGTCGCTGGACGCATGCATTGGTGTGTGTGTGTGTGTGTGTGTGTGTGTGTGTGTTCAAACTATAGAGACACGCCTACAGATACTGAGAGACTCTGCGGTGGTCAGCCTCCTCTAGTAAACTGCCACTCATGGACTTCTGCATCCGGGATGAGGGAGTTCTGCGTCTAGCTCGTACAGCGTGGAATGACACGTCCAGGGCATAAACACAATACAGAAAAACATTTAACAACATAAACTACGCATGTAAAGAACGACAAATATTTCTGTTTTTCCCTTACTAGCTTTGTTTTTGTTCTTTTGCTTTTACAGATACACTTTTTAATAAGGTCCTTATTCTTTAAGCATTTTGGTTTGTCCTGTTGGATTTCTGGTCCGATTCACTCCTGCAGAGTTTAACCGTGTTCTGTGTCCTCAGACCCCCGAGACCTCCATCTATAGACGAATCCGACGAGCGTTCTGTGTAGGCTGCCATCTTGTGGCGACGCCATTACTGAGCTGTTACACAGGCATATAGACATGTGCACCGGTATGTAAACAAACCTCGGTGATAACGCGAACTCACCCTCGATGACAGCTACAGCCAGGCAGAATGACTTGTTGGGTTGATCTGTGACTGCAGTGGCCTCCAGTCACAGATGAAGGTACAAACAATCTTACAGATTAACGTTATTTATGAAAATAGCTTGGCAAGCTAGCTAGGCTAACGTTTGCTAACGAGGAAACTATAAAAAGATCTGTCCATTTGGCAACAATAAATAAATAAATGAATGAAATCAAATAAACAAATTCATGTTTTTCATTTGTGTCCATTATTTATCTCATTTTCACATTGCAACTGGCAAGGGTAAGGTAACGTTACAGCTAGAAAGTATACATAATAACGACCAATTAGTGTTTTTAAACCATGGAAAGAGGTCAATATAACAGCGGGAGAACAATTATGTCACATAACGTTACATTTAGCTCAGGAAAGCCATTTAATGATCATAGCATGTTAATTTAATAGAAAAAATAGCAAGAGAGGAGATTTTGCTGATCACTATATCACATATTTATTATATTTTTTTTACTTATGTCATTAAATAATTGTTATTATACGCGAATGTCCACGTCTTGTACTCGCCCAGGAAATCTGTAAACCGTACGGCAAAAGACAGGGGCAGTCGACCCGGGGTATTCACAGTGTTTTCTCTTCAAAATTGAAATTTTACTGCCACCATTGAAACAATTTATAACGGAAACTGTTTACCCACTCGACATTATACAAGGGATAACGTTGTAACGTTAGTGACAGTCGTAAATCGCGGGCTGTTTATTCCAGTGGACGCAAGTTGCAACTAAAACAATAGGAGGCAATGGCGCAACGCTACCCAGCAACAGCTCAGTAATGGCGCCCCGCTTACTTCCGGTAGTTTCGCCGGATTCGTCTATACGCAGAATGATGTCGAGCCGGGGGTTGAGAAATGTCACGGTTCATGAATTCACTGTCTCTCTCTCGTCTCGTGTGCTGTTTGTGTGTGTGTGTGTGTGTGGCTGTGGGCGTGGTCACTGATCACTGCTGATCAGCAGCGCCAGCTGGTTTCAATCCGTTTGTCCCTTTCAATCCGTTTGTCCCTTTATAAGCTCAGTAACTGGAGTCTCATGTTGTCAGATCGTTGTGGTTTTCCCCGGTGTGTTCGTGGTGGATCGTGGATCCTAGTGATGGCCAAATGAAGCTTTTGTGAAGCACTGAACCACTTGAGCCAATTGGTTCAAAAATGGGTTCATTACTCGAAGCTTCAGTTGCAGCGACCTCTCCTGGCGAAAAGCAAGGCTGCAATTAATCAGTCAAATTAATCAGTGAGCAGTATTGGAGAAACTACTTTAGTTCGGAAGCATCTTTGCTAAGATCACCCTTGGATTTTTAACTATATTTCCTTTGAAAACTCTTTGATGCACACGCTAATGCTGAGCATAATGTTCTATTTACAAATAAAAATTGATAAATGTATGTTTTTTGTTATTTAGGAGAGAGTGCTGGGAAAATATGGCATAGGTTGGGTGTGCTTCTGTAAATGGCAGGGGGTGATTTTTGGGATGGGGAACACTCAAAGATTTTTATTGAGGTACATTATTTTTTCAACAGTTTTTGGACTGAGTCGGTTTCTTTTTTTGCTCACAACCTCTCCAGACTTGGAAAACACTCGCTCACAAGGAACAGATGGTGCTGGCGAGACGCGCCGTTCAAGTGAATCACCTGATTGGACCGCAAACCAGTCAAATGATTCATTCAGGCAATGAAGCACTTGCTGCTTCGGACGTCATATGTCACATGATTTTTTTCGCACCAAAGCAAGCTTTGAAGCAGTGGTTCTCTAGGTTTGTAGTTCAGGGTTTCGAAGCACGTATCGAAGCTTCAGCGTCACACTGCCATCACTAGTGGATCCCTTGTGTATTTCGTCTCGTCTGGATTCTTCACCTGCACTGGATACTACGGAGCCCGGGAAGTCACCTGTGGGGGAAAAAAAAACAATCCGAGGCGACGGTTTTGCAATCTGTCCCCTCAGTTTATAAACTGTACTCACGGATTCTTAAACTGTTCCCTCGGTTTAACAATTCGTGCCCACGGATTAATAAACCGTACCCACGAGTTCCTAATCCGTGCTCTCAGATTTGTAAACCGTGCCCTCAGTTTTTGAAATCTGTACCCACAAATTCATAAACCGTGCCCACGCTTTCGCAATCCGTACTCACGGGTTTGTGGCTCGTCCCCGAGAATGTGCCGCATGATTGAACCAGGCCTCCTGTTTAGATGCGGGATGCATTGTTTTTAAAAGGACTTCACATTCAAAAAATAAATAAATATAGGCCTAACACAAACACAAAGTTATAGGCCTATAATAGGCTAATAAAACATTCATAAATTGTTTTATGATTACCATAGCGTATTCCTGTCTTAAAGTGAACTCATTTAAATTTATAAACGCAAATAATAGGCCTATAATAATAATTAGGCTATTATTATTACATTTAGGCTACAGATAAAACGCTTTTATCAAAAAAAGAAACAAAGGAATAATATAATTGCTTTAATACAAAGTCATAATACAGGTTAGACAATACAGGGCTGAGATTATCACAAATAAACACAAGATTTTGAGGCATGTCCAAGAGTTTGTGCACAAAAAATAAATAACAATGACTTTTTGCCTTTATTAAACATTTAAAATATTCGCAAATTAATATGAAAAAAATAGACTTTCTAAAAACTATATTTTGCCCGCATTGCTAAATGAGAAGGGCATGTCTCTGGAACCATAGAGAGATGATTTATTGGCTAATTTATTGCGCTCCAGGTGGCTAAGAGTGCATACTACAACAACACCAAGTCCAAACGCCTGCATACAACCTTCACTGTCGAGCAGACTTTTGCGTTTTTACCGTTTACACGGGAACGCGGCGTTTTTAAGATTTCCACTCTGGAGGGTGGTTTCACTTTTTTGCGTTTTT